GCATAATCCAGTTGTAACAGATAAAAGTAGTTCCTACATCAGCTATTCAAGAGACATTTTTTCCTACATCCAAGTGTTGTTATGGTCATTACCCACATCAAATCAAGCAGTTTGATGTTTGAGGGGTGTCAAAATGCCAGCCCATGGGCCGGATGCATCATGGCGAAACCACGCCCACCCCATTGCCAGCAATGGAAAAAAAGTTGCGATATGTCATGAAACATCACATGATGTTGCAAGTTTGACATAAATTATGTCATAACAGCAAGAATTCTAATCTATTAGAACAGACATGTCAAACTCGCGACATCACGTGACGTCGTGCAACGTATCGGAGCTTTTTTGCCATTGCTGACAATGGGGTGGGCACTGACAATGGGGTGGTATGATGAAACCGGCCCGCAGGCCGGCAATTTCACACCCCTGTATTAAAACAATCTTTTAATTTTTTTTTTTTTTTTTTTTTTTATTGAAAATTTTTACATTTTACAAAAACAAATCCCCTTCCCATACCCCCCCCTACCTCACCCCCCCCCCTTCCCAAGCTCCCAAACCCTCCCCTGGACTTCCCAGAGCTGAGTACAGGCTTAATTAAAAAAAAAAAAAAACTTAAAACACTTTTAAAACCTAAACAAATTTAAATACAATCATCATTCTATATAAGCTCCCTCCAAAAACACAAATTTAAACATTACTTTCTTTGAATATCTATATCTATAATATAAAATCTAATTTCTCCCTCTTTCTTTATCCTAAAACGAAAAAATAAACATACAAATCTTTGTTATACCATTAAAGCTAAATACTCTTAAAGAACTTAAAGTAAGTACATATTTCCTTCAATCTTCATAATCTTCTCTCCTATCCAAAAAGAAAAAAAAAAAAAAAAAAAAACTTAAAAAACCTATAAGTCCTAAACAAATCTAAGCACATTTAATTAAACAAATTATTTTGTCTTAAAAATATTAATAATAATATTTAAAAACTAAAAACACTTTTAAATCCTAAACAAATCTAAATACAATCATCACTCTATATAAACTCCCTCCAAAACCACAAATTTTTAAAATTTAAAACATTAGAATCCACTCACTAAAATAAGCAAATTATAATCCCTTCAAAACACAAATTTAAACAATATTATCATTAAAGGTTCAAAACTTAAAACAACAAAGTTAATAAACACATTAAACATTTCAATCTTCACCAATAACTAATTCCATCCGTAAAAAACTACATCCTTATCAATCTCAATTATATTAGTATTATTAATTATTCACATTCCAGTTTTTTCCATTCTCCATTCTTCCATTCTTCCATTTCCCTTCTCCATTCTTGTATCAAACTCGTAAGAAATGCTGCAAGTTCTGCCTTAGGAGACTGCTCCAAAATTCCTGAATCTCCCATCGACTCCGAAGCCAATAAGGGTTCCTTAAATTCCTCCTTGTATTGATCTTTACAATTGTAAGTTGTACAAGTTATCCTCTGCCCATTCCTCTCTTGTTGATGCCCCTCAGACTGAGATTTCCCAGTTTCCATTTCAGGCAACAATTCCACCCTTAAAGATTGCTCCAAAGACTTTGTAGGTCTAACATCTCCCAGAGATTCAGAAACCACTAAATATGAAACTTCCTTAACCTTCTTCTGTTGCTGCTTTTCTTTGGGATTATATACTGCACAAGTTGTCTTCTGCTCCTCAACCTGGACTTGTTGAGGCCTCTCACACAAAGATTCTCCAGTTTTCATAAATATAGGCTCTTCAAACTGTGATTCTACATTCTTTTCTTCCAAAGCTTTAAACTTAATTGATGGCGATGCACATACCCCCAGGACCGAAGTATAAAAATCTTTTGCTTGAAAAACAGTATTAAGTCTATAACATGTCCCCAGGTAATTCACCACCATTCCAATCGGAACATCCCATCTGAATGAAATTTTTCTCTTTTTAAGTTCATTTGCTAAAAAAGCAAACTCCTTTCTTCTTCTTAAAATTTTAGATGGGATCTCTTTAAAAATTATAACATCTTGTGAAGCAATTTGAAATCTCTTCTTATAATAGGCTTGCACAATTTCATTGCGTAAAGATCTTTTACCAAAGTAAATTACCACATCTCTTGGCAGATTCTTCTGTGCTGCCACCACAGAGTTAACCCTAAATAATTTTTCAATTTCATTAAGTATTCCCTCTTTTTCTTTATTCAAAATCAATGCAAAGTCCTTTGCAACCATCTCCTTCAGATCTCCTTGCAAAGACTCTCCCAGGCCTCTAATTCTTAAGGCATATTCCATTTGTCCATATTGAAGCATAAGAATCTCATTTTCCATTTCTTTTTCCATACTTTCAATTTTCCCCTCCATTATGTCCACTTTTTCAGCTACCTCTTCCACATGGGAGTTCACCTTTTCAAGAACAGAAGCAACACCTTCTAAAGCCAAAACAAAATCTTGTCTCAAGATCTTATTGTTTTCCTCTAAAATCTTTTTCATTTCTGCCCTAATTTGAATTATAACATCTCCCATCATGTCTTGCAAGTCCTTCATAGTTATTAGCTGACCCCCAGAAGAGGGTGAAACTGTTGATTTAGAAGCTGTAGAAATCCCTGGACGCTTTGGAGCCATCTTAAAGAAAAACCTTTAGTCCTTCTTAAGAAATTATAAAAATTCCTTCAAAAATCATAACTCCCTCCAAAGAAGGTCATTATAATAAAAAGAAAAAAGGGAAAAAAAGGAAGAGAAAAAGAATTAAAAAAAAATTTTACTCCTTCTTAAAAATTACAAAAAATTAAACAAAAAAAAAGTCCTTCAAAAAAGGGTCATTACAAAAAAAAAGGGAGTTCAAAGGAAAAAAAAAGGGAGAAGAAAAAAAAAAATAATAATTAAATAAAAAAAGTCCGTTCCAAAAAAAATACTTAGAGATACCAAAAACAACCATTCCAATCATAAGGAAATAAAAAGAGAAAGGGAAAGGAAAGAAAGAAAAACACCAAAAAGCCTGCCGGTCAGCATTCTAACTTCCAGAAAAAAAAAACACCGAGGAGTTTGCCGATCGCCATTTTACTTTCCCTTTCAACAAAGAAAAAAAATAAAAAGAGAGAATAAAAATAGAAACAAATCTTAAAACTTAAAATCCAAATAAGTCAAAGAAAGCAAAAACTAAATCCTCTACTCAGCTCTGTCCATTTAAAAAAAAAAACTCACCAGTTCTCTTTAAGCACGGAGGTGTTTGCAGCGGCTCGTTTTGTCCCTGAGGACAAAAACAGCTGGGAAGCGGAGACAAGTCTGAACTCCGTGGGAGCACTCCTTTCACCCCCCCAAAAAAAAAAACTTGGGGGGTGCGAAAGAGGCTCTACCACTATTCAGACACTCTCTACCCCCCCCCTTTGCCCGGGAGGGGGATTTTGAACCGCTGAACAGCTGGTGTCTGCTGTTCATAGCGGTTCTTACACTTACCCAGGAGGACGGCTACAAAGTAGCCGCCATCACGCACGCAAAATCCACCGGAAGTCCAACAATCTTTTAATTTTGAGCTACTAATCATTTGAAACAGACTGCTGTGCCAAAATTAAGAACCGTTTCAGGTACTTGACATCACTATTGGTTTTCTGAGAAACAAGTGTTTTTCAAGAATATAAAAACTAGCTGCTTAATGCCTGGAAAATACATGTAATAGCAAAAGCACGAGACCCCAATTTAATGCAGTGGTTAAAGATTCAGGGGGAGAAACTAGAAAGCTGTAACTTCTAAGCTTGCCTTAGTCATGAAGCCAGGCTAAATGGGCCAGTCACTTACTCTTTGCTCTAGGAAGAAGGATATGGCAAACGACTTCCAAAAGTGCAAATGCCACCCATACACTCTTCATCTACTTGACAAAGTTTATTGCAATAATGAGATGGGTGGCATGTAAACTTAATAAACAGTAATAATAATCCAGTTCAAACAGCAATTATCTCTGCTCCCTCTGAGTTTATGAGTATCATCACAAAATGGTATTGGGAGCAATTTAAAAAAAAATTCACAGAATGCCAATTGGTAGAAGTAACAGACAAATAACTTGCATAAAAAGCATAAGCCTCAAATATCTTTAAATTTTGCCTCTCTGTTCCAGGACCAGGCCTTATTCCTGTTTTCTTGTTCTCCCAAAGATAGTCCAGCAATTAATTTTTCTTCAAACATATGCATACAAAAAATATTTATTTGGACAGAAGATAGAATTCATGGACCCTTTTGCTTTTTCTCTCAAGACTGGCTCACAGCTTTCCTAATGGCAATTATGCTTCCTCCTTCTTTCCCCACTGCCTCTCCTCACTATATTGAATTGCCTTCCTTGGGCTACACCAGTACTTCCTTAGTTATCTCACACCTCTACTCCCAGGTTTCTTCACTTATCCAGCAGAGAAAATGAGACCATTTTTTCGGCTCAGTCCCAGGGAACAAAGAAAAGGAGGCCAACCTTCCTACATACACATCTACTTAACATTTTAAGAAAATGTAAAATAAGTCATAGTAAATCACAATTAGTTATAAGACAGTACTGTAAATAAAACTACAGAGCACTTCACCAACTTCGTCTATCTCCACCTTTCAGGGAGTGCTTCACCAATGATAACTGAAGCAATAGGCATTTGTTTTCTTTCTTTCGGGATCATTATATAAAATACAACATTGTGGTCTCATATAAGAAAACATTGAGCACATTAATTCTGTTGGACTGAAAATGAGTTGTTCTTCACGTCCAATAAAATGCTGTGTGTGCTTTGACAGCCATTATTTACCATCCCAACAGAACAGTATAAATCAAAATTTGTGTTATTTTTTTGGCATACCTTCATGCTGAGTATAATTTCATACTGTCCATCAGTGTCAAACTAAAGTGTTGGCAAAGAGAGGCATAAAGCCATGAAAAGCAAATTTAGCAAGCAAAACAGAAGCATTAGAAAACTGAAAACAGAATGGAATTACATAGAAACGGCACTGGAAAAACTAAGCTGTATGTTAAAATGTACTCTTGGAGCAAGGATTTCTTTAATTATTAACATTTCCGCATTGTAGTACTTCAGTAATCTCAGGACTGACACCAAATATGCTACATTTTAAAGATGTAAATACTCTTCACTTTCTACAGAAGAAATATCAAAAATTACTATCCAGCAGAGAAAAAAGCATACTATAATGCCATTATGATAATAAACATGAGAAACTACAGTGCAGATCATGAACTGAGATTATATATTTAATATCTTTCTAATTCCACTTTGAAAATCACAATCATAATCTGAACTCATGATTTCAAATATCCAGGAATAAAAATCTAAAATTCACTTCTTTGAAATTTCAGTCAAAGTAAGGTGCTGCACCTGGCCATTGAAAACTTGGTATCTTATTGGTAATTTAAAGAAAAAGGATGAGTTAAAAATATGAAGAGGTTATACTTAGTTTCTTAGCTTTTGCCCAAGGACATGCTTTAAAATCTGCATTTCTTCCTGAAGCTAAACAATTTTTTAAAAGCTGTTTGGCATACCAACCAGCCTCCCAAATTTGTTCTTATGCTTAGGAACAGCTGTGCAGTACTTCATAAGACAGCTGTTATTTAAATTAAATTGCTCCCATGTATAGGTGTTTATTACTTATATTGAACTTTACTTTTTTAATCAAGATATATAATAAAATATCTCTTCATGACAGAGTTATTTGACCATATTTTTTCTACCGCTATGAAAGTACACAAAGGACCATTACTAAGCCATTAATTTGATGTTTGATGGCAACTAAAATCCACACAGAATATTCACAAGAAAACCTGAAAAGCAAAATGGCATTCTCTTTTCTCATTTTCTCAAGTCACTTGTCATGTTTCATGGCATCTTGGAAATAGACAGAAAGTTAATATTCAAATGATAAGCAATATGATTTGTATTCATATTAAAATAAAATAACAGTTTCTACATAATTTTATTTCTGAATGCATAGACATAAAATATTTACTCTACTTAGATGGGCAACAACATCCACTCCTGAAGCTTGCTCTTTACTTTAGGGGAGCAGAATGCTCCCCTAGGTTAGTTAGAAATGTTTTCTATAGTAGTGTAATAACTGTAATTAGACAAAGTATTTTGCTACAAATTTCATTTCTTTGAATTCACTGTCCCTGAATACTCGAAGACAAAGAAGCAGAGAAACCTACTTCCAGAGGGCAATAAGTGTGTTTTTCCTCTAAAGAAAGCAGCATAAATGAAGTAGCTCTTCGATTCACAAACCCCAAAACAAAATTACTTTTGGTGTGTAAACTGTTGTACTGTCCTTTCACTCTCTTTTTTCAATTCTTCAATATGTGTATCTAAGCGTTCCAAAATATGATGGGACCTTTCTTCTTCTTCTTCTAGGAACTTTGCAGCAATCACATCTACATTTGTGGCAGGCAGAGGACTCTAAAAAAAAAATATGTTCAACAAGACTGTGAATCAAAAAAAAACCAATTTTAATCTAATGCTTATTATTACTATTTAAACAATGAAAAGGAGAGAACTATATTACCAGTTTCACAATGTAATTACAACACTAGCCGGTTTACTAGCTCCAGAACTTTGTAGAGAATAGCTAGGTCACAGTGATACACGTCTTACTAACCTTGTTCCTAGATTACTGCAACATGAGGTACAACTAATTCAGGAGACTGGACAGCCACTTGTCAGAAATGGGATAGGGTCTCCCGCTTGAACAGGGGATTGGACTAGATGACCTACAAGGTCCCTTCCAGCTGTTCTATTCTATTCTATTCTATTCTATTCTATTCTATTCTATTCTATTCTATTCTATTCTATTCTATTCTATTCTATTCTTGTCTGTATATGTCAATCCTTGCCAATTAAGATCTTAAGAGGCAGTTTGTAGTGCCCAAGCACTATGAAGCATTATTGCAAGGAATGATTGTGGCACTCTTTTGGTAAAGCATGTCAGGCATCTAGTATTTCCTAATTTATATGTACTTCTTTAAACTTTATTTGAAGTATTTGCCTCTGACTTTTTTATGGTACATACTTTATTGTGTTGTATAGCTTTTAGTTTTGTTATTTTGTATTGCTGCACATTGCTCTTAATATTGGATAGAGCAGTTATTGGCGAATCTTTTAGAGACCGAGTGCCCAAACTGCAACCCAAAACCCACTTATGCATCATCGGGTGCCGGATGGGTGTGGCCCATTGGGTGGGTGTGGCCCATTGGTGGGCATGGCTGCAGTAACAGCAGACTGGGTGGGACTAAAAAGTTCAATCAATTCCAACTTTGCAAGATCTTTTTTTTCCCGTGAGAAGTTGAAATTGACTGATTGATTGAACCGGTTTTTTTGCACACGGTGGCAGAGGCCTAAAGCAAAATGGTTTTATAAAACCCAGCTGAAGGCCTAAAACTGGAGCGACGGCACGTGTGCTGACAGAGAAGGCTCTGAGTGCCGCCTCTGGCACCCGTGCCATAGGTTCGCCACCACTGGGATAGAGAAATAATAATTGAAAATCAGAAGGCAAAGCTTCATGTCTGCATTGAGTACAAGAATTTAACTGCAAATGGAATCCCAGTTTAAAAGCTAGATAAATAAATATCTACATATTTTAAAAGATATATCTATTTTTAAAAAACCAAATCACTTAAATGACTAGTTTATTTGCATTTATGATCTCTGAAAAAAAAATTGACCAAGATTGAATATTTGGTTGCATACTGAAAAACCTTTATTGAAAATGATAACTATCATTTGGCTTTTAAGGCATCTAGGTTTAATTTGTATATATACTCCTGGAACTGAAAGTCTCAGTGTAATCTATAAGACTGACTTCTCAACAATAAGATTCATCTTCAGGCCTTTAACAGTCAACCCATGATTACTGGTGTTCCTCAGCAACCATACGGCCTTTGAAAATTGAATACTAAATATTCAAAATCTTATTGGTAGTTCATAATTAATCCTTCAAAAGATACATACAAGCAACAGGTTACATTCTTCAGTTTATATAAATATTTATATTCTACGCATTTTTTGCACGTGAATTTGCTTCTCATAGTTAAGCTAACATTCCAACAGTCAAAGCATGCTGTATACTTGTCAGGTTTTAGCACTCATTCCAACAGTCCCTTCTCAAGCAATGTGTTCTGTCCCATATTTTCTGCTAAATTCAAAGTTAATAGCAAACTAGCCAGATTTACAAGTATTGTTCCTCAGCATTTATTTAGAGAACAGTTTGCACTTATTATAGTTGGGAATTGGGGAATTGACGGTTCTCATCTTTCTTTCATCTCTTGTTCCATTGTTCCATTGTAGATTGAAAAGTAAGTAGCATGGCGTTAGTGAGTGAAAATATTTCAAAGAGGACATATTGAAACGAATGCAAAACCTCACAGATTATGATATCAGAAAATAGTATATCCCTTGCAATCTTTTATTATGCTTACCAAAGGTAAAACGTCTTTCTCATACTCTCTTGATACCATGTAAGAAAATTCTGGATCTTCACAGAGCAAAAGATCGGATCTCTCAAGAGATTCATAAGGCAAAGATTCGACACTGTTTGTTCCATTGACCTGAAGTAGACCAGCAGCTGTACTAGAAACAGAAAGCATTCTGGATGGAAAGTATTTTGCTCTCTGGAGTTCCTCCTCATAATGTTGAACAGTCCTGTCATATTTAGCTTGAAGTGCTTTCATTTCTTCCTCATGCTTGCACTGCAGATCTTGCATTCTTCTGTAAATTTATTAGAAATAATATGTTAGATCCAACAGACCAATGATTTTCAGTTTAAAATCTGCAAAAAAATTTAGTGGCTGAAATCACTGCCAGAAACTTCCTGAATGCAATATAGTCCATAGAAAATTTAAATGTAATTTCCCTCTGTGCTATTCAAAAGGTATATATTACAACTGCTTCTACCACATGGAACTGTTTTTCACAAAATAAGAAAGAAGAAGGGAGAAGAACATCTCTTTTCAATGTTTTTTCTGTTTGGTAACAATGTAAAAAAAATTAATCAAATCTCATTTACAATTAATAAAATATGGGAAATAACTAGAAATTATAAAAAGATTTTAGAGTGCTTCAGCATTTTTTTTAAAAAATCAAAATCTAGTATTTGTTAGGCTTTCAAAAAGTCTCCATTTTCAAAATCATATAAATTCTTACTTGTTTTCTGCATTTGTTATCTCAGTCACCTGATGCTGCAATTGCTGCACAATATTGTCATATTTGCTCTGAGAAACCCAAGACGAAGCTTCTAAGTTAGTTCTAGTTTCTGCTAATTCTTTCTGTAGATGCTTATTCTGAAGTTCCACTTTATTTAAAGGCTTGTTATAACTTTCCTGGAATTCTGCAAAGGAAGTACTTTTTGCCTTAAAATGATAGAAACACATTAGTAAGATTTTTTTTTTGTTTAATAAAACTCAGTTGCTTCTAAAGTTATTTTTCTGTTTTATGGATTTAAGAAATTTACAAGTATTTTATTAAGAAAGAACCCCATAGAAGATAAATCAATCACTAAATGTTTGAATCATCATCTGAACTAATCAAATCTACAGACCAACAGTTTCTCTCATTCATCTAAAATGAATATGAACTTTAAAACCACTCAACTCACTCACAAATCAGTATACAGTTAAACATGTATATAGCTTCATAATTCAGATCCAAAACAATGAGATTGCTCTCTGTTTGCTGAAGATACTCAAAATCTCCTAATACTCCATTTAGTAGAAGTTGCTCTATGATTACTACATTTTTGCTCCATATAAAACCTTAAACAACGATAGCAATGAATCTAAAAATCTTATTACGGACAAAGCCAAACAGAAGCATAAACACAAATTGTGACATAACTTATAACTTCTTGCCTTAAGCAAAGAATTGTCATTTCCATTTTGTTTCTTCATGGTTACATGGGTAAATGATTAGAATTATTGGAGTTAGTTTCTGCTCCCTAACTCATTAAAATTAATTTGCAAGAACTGCAATATTTTTTCAAATTCAAATAGTTCTTTATGAATTTAGAATACAATAGAACTGGATCTTGGAGGTCTTCTAGTCCAGTCCCCTGCTCAAGCAGGAGAACCTATACCATTTCAGACAAGTGACTGTAGCCTCTTCTTAAAAAGTGATGGAGCATCCATGATTTCTGAAAGCAAGCTGTTCCACTGGTTAACTGTCCTCACTGTTAGGAAGTTTCTCCTTAATTCCAGGTTACTTCTCTCTTTGATTAATTTCCAACCATTTTGAAAAAAAAAAAATCCTGGTATAATTGTTGTTAATTTTGTAAAAAGTATATTTTTATTATATTTTTTATTATTATTTGATACAAAAAAGTTAAGCCTAGTTTCATTTCATGCCAGATATGAAACATTTTTAAGGGCTCGTTCTCACAGGGAGTCTCTTAGAAAAATGTCCTCTTTTTATGCAGAGATCAAGAGGGCAGCACTAAGATTATGAACTTGCACTGACATCTAGTGGTCATACTAAATAAAATAATACCTTATTTGTGTATAACCTTTTTAAAAAATCATACTCTGTTGAATATATTGAGAAACAAATTTCCTAATCAACTTTACACCCCACTATTACTTTCAACATTAGATGCATATAGTAATTTGTTTTGGGGGAGCATCTTCAACTTTGTATAAATGCATAAAAATAATATTTGTCTGTACTATAAAGCAGTTAAGCAACTCAATGCATCAAAGGAAATAACACAACTCAATCAAAATGTATTCTACCTTCTGCAGCTTCTCTGACAGATGGTGATTTTCTTGTCTGAGGGCTTCCAACTGAGACAGAACAGCCTTAAGAGATAAATTTAATTTTTTTTATTGTTAGTATAGATTAGATGCAGGAAATAAATAGCCCCTTGGCTATACACTTCTTATCAAGCCATGTGGATTTTAGTATCATAAATTATTTCAAATAAGAGAAGCCAAACTTTCATATTCTGAAGTTACTAGTAATTATATTTAAATCTGAACAAGTATTACCAAAAAGATTAGAATGTACAACGAGGGAACCAAAGAAAATAAGTCCCATATTATTTTTAATCGAACAAGTTGTAATACTATACTATAAAATATTGTAGAACTCAATTATTCTACCTTGTGCTCTATTGTCTTTTGCTCTGTTTTTTCAATCTCTATTTTTAACTGTTGCTCTAAGCTTAAAGTAGAACCCAAGGAAGAAGCAATTGTGATGTCACGTTGATACAGTTCCCGTGTTAATTGGGTAACCTCAAGCCTCATTCCTTCCAATTCTCGGCTATGACTTTGCTCTTTGCGGGATAGCTCTTCCTTCATCTGGACAGAATTGGATACAAATTTGCAGGTCAGCATTTTTGTGATAATCATCATGCATAGTAAGTAATACTAACTCTCTATAGCATAATTTCCTCCTGTTACCTTGCTAATCCCATACTGCAGCAATGTTTCAGAAATCTATTACATTAAGTTACAGTAAAACAGTCCTGTCTGAAGTTGGAATATTCATCTGGAGTCTTTGTATTCAATCAAATAGAACCTAATTGATGGTTTTCTGTATTTTCATTAAAGCCAGCCAACAACAAAGTACAAATATGACCAAGTAAGACTGCTTTTATGAAATAATTTGAATTCCTAAAGATCTGCACGTTAGGGTACAAATTGCACAAAACAAGAACAACCTCCTAACCTCGTTTATAGTAAACACCAGCAGCTCCTAAAAAATAGGAATGCTGGGACTAGTGAAAAGCAGTAAATGCTAAAAGTCCCAGTATGGCTCAAAGAAAGGATGACATCTTAAGACAATACCCTCAACTCCTCCAGATTTTACACATTATTCCTAGAGGATTATCTTCCATCTTGATCTGAGATAAATATTTGATATGGACTGTAAGAGAATGTAAGATAGGATGCTCAGATTGCCATATACCAATTTTCAATGGGCAACTTAAATTCAATTTAGATGAAACAGTCATTTTAACAAACCAATCTGCTGGAACATGGACAAACTGAAGCATTGTTTTTTCCTCATATAATGCCCATATACATTTCAATATGTCTTAAACCATAGCCTCATGTGAAGTCAGAACTAGGAAACTGAGTTAACCAATTAAGAAGTTGCTCTGAAGTCAGCAGTGTGAAAGAAAAACAAAACCTAAATTGTTCTTTAGTTCATAGTTTTAAGTTCCCATGCATCACCATTTATGGGTACTTTCCCTTTAAGCTTGAACTACACTGAATATTTTTATTTCTTGTGTGTGCTGGATTGAGTGAATATTTAGGACGTAACTTTCATCTAAATATGTGAGTATGTCATATACCTGAGCCTTGACACTAATAGCCCATAACAATTTTGAGGGAGAAATGGTTAAATTTGAAGCCTTCATTGAGAAAACCATGGGGGGCTATAGATTTAGTACTTTTGTACTATTTTTTTTTCTTTAGGTTGATTCATATTCAAAATTTGTCTCAGTCTTGATGGGAAAAGAAAAAGATATACCAGTTAAGGACAACATAGCATTTGGTAGATATTTGGATGGTATCTAATAGAAAACGCTATCTGAACTGTATTTCTAAGCATACCCTTTCACCCAGCTGGCCATCTTCCATTTAATTTCAAGCTACTGCTTTACACTATTGACATTTCATTGTGTACAGTTATCCTCAGTTTTCTTTTTAGCCAAGCTAGATGACTTTCTCTGTCTGCAATTCCTTGCATTCAACTATTCTTCTGGAATTTTGCAAATTCTGCTGAAACTATAATAATGATATGAGATATCAGAGAAGTTCTTATTTTTTAAGAATATTTTGCAATAAGCACCTTAGACAGTCCAAAATATAAACATATATGAGTCTGTACTTTCTACAGTTATCTAACTTTACTTACATAACCTGAATTGGAGACTCAGCTTTTTATGAAAAGGTTATCTTGCAGGCATGAAAATTGCAATAATGGAAGCAGTGAATGTATTGAGTTGCAAAGAAAATAATCTTAAATTCTGAATCATCTTCTTCAATATAATTCATCACTCCTCTTTTAGTACCCCTTAATGATAAATTGTTTCTTTGTCTACATTACCACAATGTAAGAAACTTCATATTGTCCCAATCTGTTTTAATGATACATAAATTGGGCATTTTAATATGTTTATTTGTACAAGAGATCCACACTTTTTTTATCTCGGTCTTGGCTTTGCACAGCTGTTCTTCAGTTAGTCGAAGCTCCAGTAACTTCTCCTTTTGCTCTTCAGATAGCTGGATGCACTTTCTATCTGGAGATTCCAAGCTAAAGCCAAGAAAAATACATGCAAAATCAAAAGCAAGTATTTGTAAGCAACATAATGCCAAATTTAACAAATCCAACAGATTTTTTGTTTCATAAGGTTTTTATTATAAAGAAATTTTTGAGGTCATGTACCTGCTCTCAAGTTGAATCACTTCAGTGCCATCAAACTGCTGGCATAAATGCTTCTCTAATTCTGTTCCACCATAGTAGTTTCCTTTGGCTTCTGTATTCTTTTGCAGCTGCCTAGACAAGACAGTTTAATGCTTGAAGCTTTCTAACAAACAAAGTAAATTATACCAGTTGTACAGGGAGGCATTTGTGTAGATACATTAATGGCATAAATGAAGATGGCAATGTGTCTTTAAAATAACTTTAAATATTTATCAAAATTGTAATAAAAGAAGTTCTGCCACAGTACTACACTGACAGGTATTATCAGTCAATGACATTACAACATAATCTCTTACCAACATCTTTTAAAATTATTATCTCACCCTTTATTCTGACTATTTGACAAAAGAATTGTCACTGGTCTTCCTAATATTGGAACACTGATTTAAAATATCTTATTAGAACATTAAGTGAGTTAGTTTGGTTTAGAGATTAGAGTTTGCTTTAGGAGCAGGAAAACCTGACTTCCATTCCTGCCTTATGAAGGCATCTGAGTGACATTGAGCCACTCAGACATTCTTGTTAATTGTCCATGTAGTTGTTGGGAGTCAAAAGTGACTTGAAGTAAAAACACACACACAAACAGACATAGAGAGTGAGGTGGGATATTACTTTTTAAAATGAGGTGGGTGGGTGAATCACTGGGACTAATTTTAAGGAAACAGGAAAAGGGAAAATGGAGAGAATTACAAAGGACCGAGAAGTGGGGAGGGTGATCCTCTGTAGGCTTTGATAAGAGAAATTTTTCCTTTTCCTAGTAGACTTATATGCAGGACAAAAGAGAAAAAAAGACCATATGGAAGGATGGCCATACTACTATTGGTTCCACTTTTATCTACATTTGGCAGCAGTTCACAACAAATTTAGGAAAGATGATGAGCTTTAACAATATTAGAAACTTAATGAATTCAGTTAGACTGAAATTTCATGCATGCACCAGACAGCAACACACATTCTTACCACAGCAAAAATACAGTGTCAAATATGTGGTTCCCAATGCATAAACTGGCTGAACTGACAATTCCAAATCAAGAGAAATTACAGCAAGGGTGTTGACAATCAACCGCCAGAGGCACATTTTCACTTTATAATAGTGCACATATACATTTTAATAACTGTTTTCATTATCTTTGCTCTACTAGAATTTTAAGAAAAAGTTCAATTTGCCAAACAAAATTATGTTAATTTTCTATAAAAAAAACTGTTGGCTTGCTAAGTTCTGTCATACAGGCAACAGTTGTATTGACAATCAACATAAAGAGAATCCATCTGTTTTACTATTTTAAAAAAATCTGAAAATATTTTAAATTATGTTATATATCCATGTAATCATGTTTTCTCTTCTTAATTGAAGAATAATGACATAATGCATAGTAATCTGTTCAATATTTTCCTCAATATTTGGAGACACACCTGATAAGAGTTTCTTTCACATTCAGAGTTTCAGTTAGCTTGGACAATTCTTTCTGTAATTGTTCATGATAAAGCTGTAAATTCGTGATGAAGTCCTCTTGAGACAACAGAGTAGATCTGAGTTCCATCTTTTCATCATGAAGAACCTTCGAGGGAGAAAATGAAACTCACTGAAAATAAATATAACATATGGGATTAAATTTACCTTTCAACAGAGAATCCCTTTCTTACAACCATGTTTCCTATTTAGCCTCAATGGAATGCTAGAACAAGTGGCTAAATAAAATATGTATTATTCAGCTTCCTAGCAATTCATTCACACACCTCTAGGGAGTTCCGGGAAAGTTTCAGTTCGTGTAAAAGCTTTTGTTGTTCTGACAGAATCTTCTGGTTAGTATCAGTCAAATCATCTACTCTTATATTCAGTCTCTCCAGTTCCAATTCATTGGCACAAATAGTGTCATTGGCTCTTTCCAACTTGCTGGCTAAATGATGGATTTCAGATTGACTTGCCAGTTCCACAGATTCAAACATTTGCTTCCGGTTGCACAGTTGAGTCTATGAAGTAGAAAGCATTATTGTGTTAAAATTAAGCAATATCTTTCAAAAATAAAAATTAAGTTGGATGCAGATGTCACATGTCATTCTATTTTCCAATATGAGAGGATTTTTTTTCCCAAAGCTTAATTCCATTGTAAAAATAAGGAATTATGACTAGAAAAATATCTCAAAGCCACTCAGCATATATTTAACTCAATCAGATCTTTAGCCATCCACATCCAATTAAGAATACCATTCTATTACACCAAGGAGATAATTTACCACCTTCGGGTCCCATTATCTGCATCTCAGTTTTGGTCGTTAAAAGAAAATTGAATTTCAAAGATTGAATCTCAGAAATGTTTTGAGAATTTCTGAAATGAAGGATAGCATCAAGGACTATTCTTGGTCTCTTCTCCATGGGATAGTCAAGTGCCTCCAAAGCAAGCAGAGCAAAAGGTCCAACTCAAGCTAGAAAAAGGGGTTATCCCTGTAAAGGATTCGGTATCGGGATAACAGAGACATCTGAGCAACGCTATTTTTCCATGTGAGCAGTACTGTAGATTACTGATACAAATTCTGGCTGATTATTGCAGACAGCCAAAATTTCTGACTAATTTAGAATAATTCAGACTAATAGACTCCCCATATATTAAAAGTAAAAAAAACACACTGCAAAAGAAACAAACGTAAATAAACTTATTTCAAAAATAAAAGTTACTGTTACAGGATTTATTTTAAAGGCAGAAATATTGCATACCAATTTCTTATTCTTGCTCATAAATTTACATTTTTTTCCTTAAACTCCTCACCTTTCAGTTCTACTACAAAACTGAGAAAAGCAATGTGCTTGGACTGCAGAGGAAGCAATCACAATTTAATACACAACACAGAAGGCTGACATGGCTATGATCTGTCAAAATAGTAGAAGTTGAGAGAGCACATATATGAGCTGTAACAAGATAAAAAAATATTCTTGCCAAATTTTCTTTTTATTCACTATGATCATGTTGACCATGACACTAATTTTTCTGAGGAAAAAAACTTTTAAATATTTGCAAAAGAAAATATTACAGAAGTACGTTTAACACTTTTTTTGTCACTGACTTAACAAGTCAAGCAAAACACATAGTTTGCAGAAATTTGGGAGATTTCTGTTAAAAGAATTGTTGGGGTGAAATTACAAGCCCCTGACCTCAATACATCTTCTCAGGAAAAACTGTTTGCTCACTCCCAAAACATTTAGAAAGCCAAAGCATACTGATAAACTGAGGAAAGATACTGGGACATAAGCAGAACTCTGGCAAAGCAAAATAAAGTAACTCCCTAGAAAGAAACAGAGTTATCTCTTCATGAAATACTGCCTTTTTATTTTTTCAAAATCCAACTGTCTTTGAAGTCTTTGCCTCAATTCCTTACAACTACACCTACTGGCCTCACTGATTTTATACATACATGTTGTGTTATATACATGAAATACCTAGTTGCTCTTCCTAGTTGCTCTTCCTATATATATGTAGGTCTTTGGTTGTTCGGGTTTTCTCCCGCGTAAAATTGGAAGTGTCTTGGCGACGTTTCGACGAAGTCTCATTCGTCATCTTCAGGCTGGTGCTTTCGGCTTTGTGCTTCTAGGAGCAATGTGTGATTGTAGCTGTTTCCTCCTTTTAACTGCCAGTGGGGATATGAACTGATTGGATGAGAGCTTGGCTGTGTTCTGATTGGATGGAGGTGTATTCTGATTGGTTAGGAGCTTGGCTGTGCTCTGATTGGCTGGGGAGTTGGCTGTGTTCTGATTGGCTGGGGAAGTGTTCTGTTTGGGTGGGGGCTTTGTTGTGCTCAGGTTAGTCTGAGTTGCAGGGGGGTTTAAAATGGTGAACTGCATTGCTATTTTTTGGCTTCGCGTTCGTGGTCGTGCCTCATCTTCATGGTGGTGTCAGTTTGCTTCATGTATGGATTGGAGGGGTTTAAAGTGGCTAATGATGCAGCTGTGGTCTGGCTTCTGGTTTGTGGTCGTGCCTCATCATTGGTGTGGCTTTGGGTTTGCTTTTTGCGTGGATGTGTGGTGGTGACATCCTGTGTGGTTTTTGTGAGGGTGGGTCTGGTATCATTTTTTGTGTTAGGGAGTCGTTTGTCAATAAGGGCGGGTTTCCAAATGGCTGGTAGGCAGGAGGTATCATCTCGCTTGTTCATGCTGTGTGGGCATTTTTCTATCTCGATGGCTTCTCTGATTATTCTGTTATTAAAATGTTCAGTTTTGGAGATAGTTCTGGTCTTTTTAAAGTCAATTTCATGTCCTGTGATTTTAAGGTGTTGGACCAGGGAAGAAGTTGGTTCCTTTTTTTTGACTGAGTTCTTATGCTCTTCAATGCGTGCACTTATTCTTCTGTTGGTTTGTCCGATGTATGTGGTGGGACAAGTGGTGCATGGGATTTCGTATACTCCTTGATTTTCTAATTCAATTTTATCTTTGGGGTTTCTTGGGATGGTGGATATTTTTCTGTTTGGGCAGAATGCTATCTTAATGTTGTGTTTGTGGAGGATCTTACTGATTCTGTCTGTGGTGCCTTTTATGTAAGAGAGGAGGGTTTTGCCGTTTTCTTGTTCTCTGTCTTGGGTTTTAATGGGGGTTTCTTTTTGGATTAGTTTGGTAATCTTATTTCATTGGAATCCATTGGATGTAAGTACATTAGTGAGAGTGTGTAGTTCAGTTTTTAGGTGTTGTTCATCAGCTAAGCGTTTTGTTCTAGAGATGAGTGTCTTGGCTACGGAGTTGATCTGTGCTGGGTGGTAGCGTGAGAGAGCATGCAGATAGCGGTTTGTGTGTGTTTTCTTCTGGTAGATGGTGTGTCCTAGGGAGCCATTGGATTTCTTGTAGACTAAGACATCTAGGAAGGGAAGTTGGTTATTAGCTTCTGTTTCCATGGTGAACTGTATTTTGGGGTGTAGGCTGTTGAGGTGTATGAGGAAGTTGTACAGTTTTTCTTTCCCATGTGGCCAGATTATGAAGGTGTCGTCTACGTATCTGAAGGTGTTCTGTTTGGATGGGGGCCCACCCAAACAGAACACTCCCCCAGCCAATCAGAGCACAGCCAACCCCCCAGCCAATCAGAGCACAGCCAACCCCCCAGCCAATCAGAGCACAGCCAAGCTTCTAACCAATCAGAACACACCTCCATCCAATCAGAACACAGCCAAGCTCTCATCCAATCAGTTCATACCCCCACTGGCAGTTAAAAGGAGGAAACAGCTACAATCACACATTGCTCCTAGAAGCACAAAGCCGAAAGCACCAGCCTGAAGATGACGAATAAGATTTCGTCAAAACGTTGCTAAGACACTTCCAATTTTACGTGGGAGAAAACCCGAATAACCAAAGACCTACATATATATATATATATATATATATATATATATATATATATATATATATATATATATATATATATATATTATTTTGCATAAGTCTGTAAATAGAAACAATAACCCCATCCTACAAAATCAATTTTGTAGTTCAATGTAATGTGCCCATAAAATATTCTACATACCATTTGCTTTACCCAAATTTGCATCAGAGGATCTCTGATTCCCCCAACACTATTTTTCAAAGGGCACTGAATGGATCTGTTTTGCCAGATAGCCTGAATAGTTATTTATCAGCAGAGTTCTACAGTGTAATTATGTATCAAATCATTTTCACATGGTATACTTCCGGAAAAAAATATATCTAAAATCTATCAATGTAAGAAATAAATAATCAACTATCTGATGGGGAAGCAAATATTTTTATGGACAACCTTCTGTATTAACTTTCATGACTACAATCATTCCAAAAACATGAAAGTGGCAAATACACAGCTACATTTGAAAATCAAAATGCTAATTATTATTTTTCTATTATCTTGTAACTAACAGAAGTATACCAAAAAAAAGTTCTCTGAAACCCAGTTTTAAAAGGCTAAACCATCAACAACTTAGGCATAACGCAACAAGGCATTTGTTTTTAAAAAAACACACACTTTTTCCCAAGTCATTCTGTCAACATCTGTCTTTTGCAAAGCCACCATCAGTGTCAGCTTCAGTCCCATCACAGCCAATTTCTGCCATGCAGAACTTCTATTCAGAGGCAACTCTATAGTCCATTAAGTGGAAAGCTCCCAGAAGGAGCTTCTTAGCTGTCACAGCAAGCTTTTTCACAGATGGAACCTTATCTGTTAAACTAAACCACAGTAGCCTTAAGCCAACATAGATTGTTTTTTTTTAGAAACTGTGAAAGTCTCTTTTAAACCTCATGAGAAATAAACAATAGAACTTAGAATATTTTGGTTATATACCACATGCATATTTTGTATGATATCTATACTATTTATGAAAAGTGTCATTTAGATCTATCACATATACTGAGATATACTACTGGGCATTTAGTTGCTACAAAGCCTTTAGCAAAATAATTTTTAAAAATCGTACTATTTTTTTTCCCACCCAAACCATTGTTTGGGAACTTAACAGTAAAAAGATCCAGTGCCTATTAGTTACTGAACAGATTTTAGATTATTTCCTGACTGTATGCACAGTGGTGCTTATAGGTTTGTCAACCTTTTGGAATTTTCTATATGTCTGCATAAATATGACCTAGAACGTGATCTATTGTCTACATAAATCATAAAACTAGATATAGAAAATCCAATTAAACAAATGAGTCAAAACATTATGCTTGTTCATATCTTTATTGAGGAAAATGGCCCAAAGCTATGTACTTATAAGCACCACTGTGAATAAGCACAGTGAATAGGACAGGGATTATCCCACAAGAGATTCCCTTCAATGATTGCCTGAATAAACACTCAAGATTGCCATAAATTATTTCCGTCTTCCAAGGCAAACAATTCAACTTAACTGTACCTGAACTAGCTCAGACTTCTCAGCCAAAGCCTTCCTTTGTGCTTCCAATGAAGCAATTTGCTGCTGGTACTGCAGACGCTGCTTTTCCCAATCTAAAGACTTTTCATGGAACTCCTAGAAAAGATAATTACTATTTACTTACAATCTGGATGCTTAACAGTATTCTGGATTTCCTTCCAAGATTAAATTAAATTCTGATATTAAGTTATTGGATATTATTCACTAAATAAACTTACAGTTGTCTTTAAGGAATTAACATTCTGCTTTCCAAAGAGGTAGCATATACTTTGTAAGTATGGCATGGCAAAAATCTGATTATATAGTTCAGAAATATTGCTGAAGAATTAATGACAGAAAGATTAAGAGGAAAAAATAATATTGAATGTGAAGATCATCTTCTTTCACTGTGTGAACAACTTTTGTAGAGATATATATGGATAGGAAAAAAAGAAATATCTAGGTACATGTAACAATTAGCACTAGCCATCAGTAAGAAGTTAGATATTTCAACCAATCAACCTTACATCTCCAGCTCTTTCATTCTGCTGCTTCATATTCACGCATGTTAATCAAAGGACACTATAATTAGCTAAGGAACTTTCTAGACAATAGGAAGTTTATCTAATAATTATTTTTCCCTCATTGGATGTATCGTGTATGTATTTTGAACTACAAAATTATATTGTTAGAATGGGAAAAAGTAAAACATACATAGAATGAAATCTTCATTTAGTGATTTAGTAAACCTCACTGAAATGGATGATGAATAAATTCTATTACATTTACATCACTTGCACAATGAAGCTATTACACAAATGATGCAAATTGCATCACCGTCTACCACTTGCACAACTTTCTGCAAATGACATAAATGACAAGATTTGCAGCATTTTACATTATTTGTACAATGCCACTACAAATGATATGCTTTTCAATATAACAGACCTTTCTCCAACTGATCTGTTTAATTGAGATCTCACTCTGTTTAACAATATATACACTGAAACATTAATCAACTATTGCCAGGAACAATTTCTTGAACAAAAATGAATGTCTTGCCCAGAATGATGTTCTTGTTTCAGACAATATATGTTTTTATAACTGATGCACCATTTAAACAATCGCAGAAGGATGTATCTAAATTTGTGTGGCAGAGGAAAAAAAACACATTAAATATAACATGTTACAAGATGCAAAGAAAAGAGGAGGATTGGGTCTACCTGATTAGAAATTGTATTTTGCAGTTTGCTGATCAGTTTGGATGAAAGGGTGGATACTGCTGAGGAATAGAAGCCTCTTGAGGTTAGAAAGATATAACCTGATATTTGAGTGGCATGAATATTTGTGATGCGACAAAGCCAAGCTTAAAATTTATTATGTTAGACATGCCATACTTAGAATATGGAATAGGTACTTTTGTGGCTCTCAGTACAAATAAGTATTTTACAAATAAGAAATAATAGGCAAACATAAATGGCTAACTTATTATGAGATACTGGAATTTTGTGAAGGAAGCCCACTTTATGCTGAACCTCCTAAAGCTGCTGCGTAATCACCTTCTTCATAACCTACCCTAAAAATGACTGTTCAATACTTGAGAAAAGAAAATCAAGAGAATAATTGGTAGCAGAGGAGTATAGTTATTTATGTTTCTCTTATTTACAGTACTGAGTGACTGAGTAGAGCTTCACAGTCCAGGAAGGAGGCACAACTGGCACATTTTTGTAGCACAAAGCTGTGCAAAGGTCTTTCTCAAACAGGTATCACAAGACTAGAAGGACCCAGAGATTGCGTACAGTGTCTGACTGGGCAGTGCCACTCCATCCAGGTACCAAAGATGGTAAAGTCCAAGAATCAGAAGGTCCCAAAATCTAGAGGTTCTTTTTTTATTATTGAAAAAGTTTTATTGACAATTAACAAAAAAAAATTTAAACCCACAAGCCCACCCACCCCCACTCCCCAACCCCCCCCCCACTTCCCAGAGCTGAGTACAGGGTTATTACAAACATATTAAACAAAATCTAATTAAATTTAACAAATTATACAATAACTAAATTCATACTTAACCCTTAACTCCCTTTAAACCTTAATATCATAATATTATAAACAAATCCATTTTAAAACAATTATTATAAAGAACCATAATCAGTAAATAAACTAAATAATTTCCATTATAAAATGCTATTACTAATAATTATTATTTAAAATTTAATCATAGAATAAATGGAACTTTTTAGTTCCATATTTAATCTGAATATAATCTATCCATCTTCTCCATACCATAATATCTTTCTTGTGTATGATCCTTTAAATAAGCAGAAATTTTAGCCATTTCTGCTAAATTAGAAACCTTAAGTGTCCATTCTTCTATAGTAGGCAACGAATCTTTCTTCCAATATTGACCTATCAATAGCCTTGCTGCTGTTACTAGATTCAACATTAAAATAGTTTCTTTAACATCAAAATCCTCAAAAATCCCTAGTAAGAATAGTTGAGGAGTAAACTTTATTTTCCTTTTAAAAATCTTTTGAATGTTCTACCAAATCATAATCCAAAAAGCCTTAATATTTTTACAAGTCCACCAAACATGAAAATAAGTTGCGTCAGAACTACCGCATCTCCAACATTTAGGCTATAAATTAGGATACATACAAGACAACTTTTTAGGATCCAAATGCCACCTATGAAACATTTTGTAAAAATTTTCCCTTAAATTTTGAGCCTGTGTAAATTTAACCAAAATCTAGAGGTTCTTATTCCCTATCCAAATTTCTACAATGTCCAAGCATCAGGATGAGATTAATTTGTCAAGGGTGAAGATACAGAACTGAGTACAGTATCATTAGCATATTGATGATACATTACCCTTAGATAGATGCTCACTCAGCAGCTTCATGTAGAAGTTAAACAGGAGTGAGAGTTACCAAACCCCACAGAAATCCACAAAATAATGGTTGAGGGTAGGACCTCTTACACTCTGTTAACACTGACTGGTACCAGCCCTACAGAAAGTGAACCAGCACAATACTGCCCCACCCACTCCCAGCCCATGGAGCCGATACAGAAAATACTATAGTCAATTGTATCAAAGGCCACCAAGAGATAAAAAAATAAGGACAGATGCATTATCCCTGTTGCGCTCCTGCCACAGATGATATAAAACCTTGGCCAATACCATCTCTGACTCATGTCCAGGCTTGAATCTCAACTGAAAAAGAATCAGATAATCTGCTTTATCCAAGGCCCACTGAAGCTGCTACATAATCAGTTTCTCCACAACCTAAAAAGAGAGAGGCTTAATACTGGATGAAAATTGTCCAGTATGGTGGGATCCAGCAAGGGCTTCTTGAGGAGGGGGCAAACCAACACTTACATGAGCAACCCCTTATCTCAAAGAATAATTAACCAACATTAGGTTCCAACCACACAACCTTCCCAGGAAGCCGTAGCTAGCTAAGGAGGGTATGGATCTAAGGAGCAGGTGGCATGGATCTAAGGAGCAGGTGGCTGACCTCACAAGTATGAAGACCCTGTCTATTTCCTCAGGCACAATAGGATCAAATTGTTCCCAGACAACTAGGCAGGACTGAACTTTAGTCATCTCCCTAGGACCTATACCAAAGTTGGAATCCACCTTGGAGCTTATCTTTATTTAGGAAGCCCAAGAACACAGAACATGTTGATGGTGGATTAGGGTTAAATATACTTGTTTTACTGAGCAGTTATGTGACAACTAAGAAATCCATTAATTTCAATTGGACTTATACTGAGATAAAGGTCTCCCACTTCGAAATTTAAAATAAAAATATTGAGATTTTTCCAAACCTATTCACATTTATTTGAATTTATAAATTCTGACCAAGACAACTTTTCCACTTACCTCTAATTTTTTTGACAAAATATTTATTTCAGACTGATCTTCGTCCTGATTCTTGGAAGATTGCCTAGTTCCTTTTAACTGTTTCTTCATCAATTTTTCGTAACTTCTCTTCAACCTAGCTAACTGGAAAAAATAAAAGTAATTTTGATGGCATAAATACTAAAACATAGATTTTTAAAACACCTAGTCTGTTTTCAATGACCAGAAAATGTATATTTATAAATTAAATTAAGGAGAACTATGAATATTTCTGAAATGTTGCAAAAACTAAATGGACTGATAGTCAAGAGTTCTTATTATGGCATAGTTTCAGTGAAACGTTTTTATTATAACAAGTACAAATTAACCATCTTTCATTGAAAATACAGTAAAGAAAGTAAATATTTGAAAATTCCAACCTCAGCTCCAATCAAATCAAGCATGAACAAAAGATCAGGAAAAGAGAACAGAAATAGAACAAAGATATTAAATATATTAAAGTTTTTAAAAAATAAATAAGGAAGCAATATTGCCAATAAACTATGAACAATTTTATATTTCACTTCAAATAGTATGTATACTTCTTTAGAATGGGATTTTATTTAAATCAAATTAGCCTGCTATAAAAGAGTTATACTATTTGATGGAAAAGAAGGAAATGGATGTTGCAAAAGGATTTCATTTTTATCACAGACATCAATAACCATGAATCCAACGGCAACATGGGATACTTCAAATAGAGGCATAACTACTCTTATAAGTGAAAAATAAGATATGAGGATTACCCCATTATGGAGTTATGGATATTAATTACTATAAGGAATTACTGGGGCTTTTAAACCTTATTTAATAGTTAATTATGCTGTGATCCCAGCTGCCAAACATTTTAAAGATCTATCACTGAACTTCAATCTAGCTTGGTGGAATCCTTCCTACTTCCCTGAAGGATTTCCTAAACAAGAAACATTATTATGAAATAATGTCTTCAGCTTGCAAAAGGAATAACACAAAAATTAATTTCATCAATAGCCCAGAACAGGCCTGTGCACCTTGCATATTCCACCATCTTTTTTAAAAAAGAAAAAAGCCAATAAATTTTCCAGCACTGCTCAAAGTGTGCAATATTTAGAATCCCTAATGCCTCCAGGTCTACCACCTTCAGCGCTACCACTCTTCTACTAGCCCCAAACAGATAATCAATGCCCCAGATTCTCCTTTGGGATTACTATGATTTTTAATTTATCAATGTGGCCCTTTCCCCTCTACCAAGTCATGTAGGCCTGGCCTAGAATTAAAAAAAAAACCTTTAACTCTCCAGGGGAACAATTTAATGCACTACTAGTCACTTCAGCATTTAACTGCAAATAAAGAAAAAGTAAAACTAAAAGCACAAGCTGAACATGAAATGACACAGCATCTGAAATTTTACACTGAAATAGTTGAAATAATGGCAAACCTTTTAGTCTCTTATTTTGGAAAAAAATATCAAAATACAGAAATGCACACACAAACTTTAAAGAAAAACATTCATCACTGTCTTCTGTTATATTGAAAGTGTACTCACTCTTATTCAAAATGTATGTCTTTATTCATCTGAAAACAATCTATATTCTTTGATTTCAATACCTATATGTACAGATATACAAGCTGCCTTTCATCTGACAGATATGATTATGAAGAAACCCGCTTTACATTTTGGTCAAGGCAGTTCTGCTATCTTTCAGAGATCTCACCTCATTTTGGACTTTTGTTAACTGACGTTCATATTCTATAGTCATCTCACGATTCAGTTGCTCCATCTCATCTAATCTCTGGCACAATCTCTCAGTCTGGAAGATAATAATAATATAGAGCTTAATACAGAAAATTCTGTCTGAGAAACTTTACTTGGACAATGGGTTGGAAAAACAACAAACCTATGGAGCCACAGAACTGAATATATAAATGTTTGTCCACATAAATGACAATCCAGCAAAGAGTCAGAACTCTAAATTAGTAAAGCAGACCCATTTACTCCCCTTTTTTCCTCCCTATAAAACTTTTTTTTACCATGGTAATGAAATTAATAAACAAGGTTATTTCCTAAATAGAAAGCAAAACTAAACAAAACTTCAGAATCATTTGCTGATATAACATGAGTAAAATTAATTTTCCATATTTAAGTAAGAGATGAACAAAACTAGTGGGACATTATCATACAGAAGTCTTCCTGGAACCTACAAATTATAGCAACTATTGCCCACTGCAAACGTACTCTTAGAGTCAAGATGTACAAGGAAGGGGTTGCTATGGAATTTCAGGTATTCATGATTACAATCTGGATCCAATTTACTTTTTGTTGAAGTAGCTCAATGTCAAAACAGTCTTAAATTTATTCACTTTGCCACTGTCTAATTCAGGTACTCTGACAGTTTAAATATATTGGAGAAAGGCCTAAGAGAATAAAACTGTCAATTTAAAAACTAGTTTTCAAAATCTAGTGGTGCTTCACATTACCCTCTTAAGGGAAAAACAGTAACAGTCATGGAGATCATATTTTATGAGTCGATGCATCCCTAATGTAGTGTTCTCTTTAAGAAAGTATGCATGACACTGAAGTTTTCTATACTATTCATTTATAGCATGTACAATAATACACCACCCATGGTCACTTTTTGTGAAATGGATGGCCATACAAATTTGATAATAAATAAATATCATCACCACATCCAACCAAACCACCAAAGGCAAGATGTTTATTGCTGCAAGTCTCACTATAAATCCCTCATATGGAAACGTTCACAGAGCCCAGGGCCATTTTTGCACTCTGATAAGAGATTACGTTTGAGGCAGAAACTACTGACGTTATGTTCTTAATCTTACAATATTTTTATCAATGACCAGCTAAATGGTTTTGACTATAAAATGTGAATCAAATCATGATGTAATAAATAACACTTAAAACCTTTCAATATAGAAGGAACAAATTGGAAAAACAGACGTAGAAAAAGTAATGGTGAGTCTACCACTTTATCAAATGAATACTATTCACATAATATTTGCAGAATTCTCAAACTATGACTAATGAATGCACTTCATATGATAGCATTTTACTTATGAACCAATTCCTTTAAATGACCTCCAGAAATGTTCAAGGGGTATGTTTTTATGGGGTCAATATCTATTGCGGAATTTTTCAGAAAACAGGTAATGTCTATTTAAATAAAATGAAAATTACATAAAGTTCAAAGAGATACCTCTTTGTGTTTCTCCTCTGCTGCATTTTTGAGGGAGGACAGCTCCTGGTTTCGGAATTCTAAACAAGACTCCAAAGTCTGAGTTTGAGTTTCCCATTCAGCTTTCTTGTGAGCCACCATGATATCTATTTGCTTCATCAATTCTTGCAACTCTGCCTCACATGAAGTCTGGAAACTTCTGCTATTGAGAAAATAGCTTTACTGATTGCACAATTACCAGAAAACTGATATAAGGTAAGCAAAACTTTCTTCATCTTTTTCTCTGAGACCAGCCCCTAGCCCAGGGGTAGGCAACCCAAAACACTCAAAGAGCTACTTGGACCCATTTCCTACCAAAAACAAAACCCCGGGAGCCGCAAAACCCTTTTGATATCTAAAATGAAGATAACACTGCATATATCCTTTTTTACCTTTATATAGGTGTGTGTGTTTGTGTGGGGGGGTATTTGTGTGTGTGTGTCTGTATATATGTATATATTAATATATACACACACACACATACACACACACAAACACACACACACCTATAATAAAGGTAAAAAAGGATATATGCAGTGTTATCTTCATTTTAGATGTCAAAAGGGTCTCTCTCTCTTTGTCTCTCTCTCTCTCCCTCCCTCCCTATCTGCCCTTGGTCTGCCACTCCTCTTCCCCCACTCTCTTTCTCTCTCTTTCCTCTCTTTCCTCTCTCTCTCTCTCTCTCTCTCTCTCTCCCTCTCTCTCTCCCCCCCCCTATCTGCTGCTCACCTGGCAAGCTTCAAGCTGTTGTCCACAAGCTCAGGAGTAGGCAACCTTGTCTCTTTTATGACTCATGGACTTCAACTCCCAGAATTCCTGAGTCAGCCTAGCTGGGCTAGCTAGCTCTCTCCTGCTTCCTGCTTCCTGCAAAGACGCAGCAAAGGGAGGAGCTCCGCCCAGTAAGCTTTTCAGCTGCTCAGAGAACACTGTGAGTGCACTCTCTTTTACACATGCACACACACAAAAACACAAACACACACACACACACAGAGAGAGAGAGAGAGAGAGGCAGGGAAGCGCAATTGCCTCTCTCTGTCTCTGTCTCTCTCTGCAGAGGCAGAGGAGGCTGGGAGCCACAAGGGAAGACTCAAAGAGCCGCATGCGGCTCCGGAGCCGCAGGTTGCCGACCTGTGCCCTAGCCATAGGTAATATTCTATAGCAGGGCTATGCAGCAGATTGAGATTCAAAAAGATGCTTCAGAGTACATAAAAGTGCAAACATAATATTCATCCATAACTTATTAAAGCAGCTGTACTTTTTCCTGGTATTGTGCAGCTGCATAAAGTAAGTATAGATGGTTCTTGTGTAACCATTCAAAGTTATCACAAAGCTGAACAAATGGTACTTACAACCAGTCCTTATAGTTGTGGCTGTAAAGCGTCCATGGTCACGTGATCAGCATTTGCAACCATCAGTGTTGGCTTCCAACAAACAAATACAATGGGGAAACCAGCAAGAGATTGCAAATGGTGATGTGACATCACACTTAGAGATAATATGAGATTTGCTTAATTAGAAGTGTCAGCACTGCGGTCACTAAGCAATGCAGTCATATGACATTGAACTTCAAATCTACTGAAAACAAATGGAAAAGATAATTTGACAAGAACACACAATTACAGCTAGTGGAAATGAATATCTCAAGCTTTTCAAAACCTTGACTGGAGATTTCACTTTGGTTCTTTCAAAGCAAAGGCACAGCAAACACATAAGGAAAAGCATGATTCTTTTAATAAATATAAAACAATTTACAGTGCAATTCTACTCAAATAGTGGATCTAAAATGAATGAACTAACTGAACAAATTCAAAATGCAACTAGTCTTATACAAGCAAGCTGAAAACAAGGAGGAATAGCATTTTTCTCCTTTCCTGTTTGTTTCTGATTATAGACTTAAAAAAAAAATTCTCATTACATTCAGTAGAACGGAATTTATATAAAACATTCACTGCTGGAATATCTTAAGCATGCCAGAAATGTTAACTTGAAACAGTACTGTCCTAAAACCTGTAAATTCTAATTGTGTTCCAGTCTGCCCATGACACAATAGTCGTTTTTACTTCTACAAATATTAGAGCTTTGATATCAAAATGTAAGAGACTCAGATTTCTATACAGGGTGAATAAGAACATTTAATGTCCAAATGTAAGAACTAATATTCCAGTGAACTAAGATTCCACCTTTATGTTTTCAGGTTCTCTACAATAACAGCCTCAACCTTTTGAATGGCAGGGACCAGTACCGTGGAAAGAGGTTTTTCTGTGGACTGGAGGGGGCATGGTTTTGCGTGTTGCCTGCAATCTGCACGTGCATGGATGGGATTTCACTCGTTTGCATGGCCCGGTTTCTGGCACAACGCAGACTAGTGCCAGTCCAGGGCCCATGGGCCCCTGTTCTACAAGAAAGCTCCTTGTAGAGCAGTGTCCTACAGTGAAACAAATATACACAACTACTACATTAATCAGTCTAAATGAGATCTGGGGAATTTATGGCCCTTTAGCTGACCCTGTCCGGCCTGTATGAAGTCAATTGGAAATTAAAAATCAAATGTAAATAAGTCGCTGCAAGGGACAGGAGAAGCAAGTTGGATCCAGCTCTACACAATTTCCATGTGTTCCTTTAGTTGGCTGGCAGCCACATGAGGGCATGGAAAGCACTTTTTCTGTGCCTGCAGAGCACTTGCCGCTCACCTGGATCAGCTTGAGGAGTTAAAGTGATGGAGTTTGAGGACATCAAATCAGGTTACATTACTCCACAACAGTCCCAGTTTCTCATATGGTCCCTTGGGAAAATTCATTACACATCCCTGTTCTAAATTGTAATGGTGATCCCTGGTACTGTAACAGCTGCACTCACCCTCCCTATACCACAATTCTGATGCCCATAGAATGTTATTTTTTTATTATTATCAGAAGTATAAATATAATGATAAAAATTTCTGAAGCTGAACATAACTGGTATAACCTAATAATTATTCTTAATTCTATGTAGCTAATTCTTAAGAATTACTTTACACTGAGTGCACTAAAGTGCACATTAAAATGGCTTACATATCTCTCTGTAATTAGCCTGAATTAGTTGGTACAGCAACTTTAAAAGGTAAACATAGTACTACTGTTTTAAACACCATTTGCAGTTGCATTTAAACAAGGAATTAAGAGACAAGCAAAAACACAGCTGTTTCTGAATTACAACACTTTCGTAAGAGTTTATTTAAAATAATATTTAGCAATACCACTGCTAAATTGATTTATTTTAGTAAAAAGTGATACAAATTATAAATGAATGCACATTTCTTTTTCCTCAAGATTCAGAATTTTTGTATTAGAATGGAAAAAAACACCACAAGTTGCTGCATTTAATAAATGTTTACTGACTATTTGGTAAAAGAAGTAGCTAATATATTATTGCCTTAATATCTAATGTTATTTTAATAACATTATTAATAGCAAATACACACCTGCTATGTCCTTGGGTTTGCATTTTTTCCAACAATGCCTCCATCCTGAAATCACTTCCCTTAAAGCTGCTGGAAAAAAAATGAAAATTATGCTACAGTAAGCTATCACCATTTCTACCCCTCCTATCACACTGAGAGAACACGTAATAAAAAGACCTACAATTAGAAAAGGGAAAAAAATCACTGAAAAATTACACAGTTTATAGTAGGAAATAATTAAACCTTCAATAGCTTTGCAGGCTAAATGGTGGGCAGACTATAACCTATAGACCAGTGGTGGGATTTGGCCCGTTCGTACCACTTCGGCAGAATCGGTAGGTAATTTTTTGTTGTCCAGACTCAGAATGGATTTCCGGAAGCCGCATCCACACAGAGAACCAGTTGTTCACATATTTGAATCCCACCACTGCTATAGACCATAAACTAAAAATAATACAAAACTAAACTAGCAAACAACATTTTGCTAAAACTTTAACTAAGCAAGCTTTATTTCATACATTACCATAGTATTATAAAATTAAAAGTTCTAAAGTAGCTTTAAAGCTATTCATAAAAATGTATTTGTTGCAATTATTTTGTGCTTTGTGTCTCTCACTTTTTCAAAATAAGAAAGGAAAGGCGTCACCCACCCCAAAACATGCGCTGTAATTTATCTTCAGATGGAAGAACTACAAGTGACCCAGGAGATGCCTGAAGACCATACAAATAAAAAAAATACACTTAACACTTAAGAAATGTTGATCTATAGATGCCATATAAATAATTTTCACATACACAACAGTTTTATGGTATTTTTACCAGAAAAACTCCCAATTGATACTAAGATTAGAAAGCTGAGATAGTAAAGGAAGACTCCTGCGAGTCCCCTGGACTGCAAGGCGATCAAACCGGTCAGTCCTAGAGGAGATCAACCCTGACTGCTCTTTAGAAGGCCAGATCCTGAAGTTGAAACTCAAGTACTTTGGCCACCTAATGAGACGGAATGACTCACTGGAGAACAGCCTAATGCTGGGAAAGATTGAGGGCAATAGAAGAATGGGACGACAAAGAATGAGATGGCTGGATGGAGTCACTGAAGCAGTAGGCGTCAGCTTAAATGGACTCCAGAAGATGGTAGAGGACAGGAAGGCCTGGAGGAACGTTATCCATGGGGTCGCGATGGGTCGAACCCCATGGACAACATTGCAACTAATAACAACAAGGAGGCAAGCAAACTGGCAGTACAAGACTGTACTGGTTCACAAATTGACCTAGCAAATTTTAGCATCTGATATAGCCCATTGGAAAATTGCACCATATGAGAAAATACAGAAAACATCTATATCTTATTATTTGTGTAGAGCCATTTATTTTAGGATTTTACAGATTTAAAGTCATTTTCACTATGATTTTAGATATTATTGTATATATTTATTGTATTGCTTTTTTATAATTTTAACTTGTAAATTTTGATTGTTATTGGACTGTACATTGCTGAAAGGAATAATTTTGTTTTGTACTGAAAGTATGTAAAGAATCCACTGAAAGGGTCCACTGAAAGTCTTATCTGAATAGTAGAAAGATTTTGCATACCTGTTCCCTTCATCACAGAATGGCTATATTTAACCAGCTATATGTAAACCAGCCCTGAATGCTTAAATTCTCCAAAATTGTTAAGACTGAATACTAAATACTTACTCTTTAATAAAGTATCTTAAATTCAGAATTTACCTGAAAGTTGCCATCTAGTATTTAATACTTAGTGCAAACAAAGACATCATTCCATTTTCTCAGATTTTTTTTTCCTCTAAAGTCCTAATTATTTTCATTTCTGTTAAGGTAAAAAAGAAATAAAATATAATAAGTGGAATGCCTCTTAGATTTAATAAACAGTTTTAATTTTTGCTAATTTATTGTTCATATTTTTCTCCATTCTTTTATCAAACCTAAAATCATCAGATAAAAACTCACGATTGGCATTTCCTAAACTATATTTAACAGAAAACTTTTGACTGTATCTCCAGTGTGGCCAGGAAATATATTCAGTCAATGGTTATTGGTGCATATTTATCCATGTTATTCCGTCAGACAATTAATGTAGAACTAACAAGGTCAATGAATAGAGAACATGAGGTGATGGGGTAAGTAGAATTTAAGTGCTAGGAAAGATTAATCTCCTAGCACATCATGGCAACAATATCCTCTAAAGACCCACAATAATTAATTGAACTGTAACTGGTTTAATTAACCTTCTAATAACTTCCTAAGTATGTAAAAATATAAAATGCCCCATCTTTTTCCAAGGACTTGTTGGAACAAGAATGCATTTTTGTTAGCTGAGGCTTCCTCGGATATTTAAAAGAAATGCACCTTGATTTTTATTCAAACTGTCAAGTTTTTCAAATAGGACCTTCTCAAGTATCTGTAGAATAGCGTCTCAAATTATTTTTGAAGTCTGCATTGGGACTTCCAACGTTGCTCAGAAAGAATTCTTGTGTCATCTATTGTAAAGAAAAGGAATTGGGCAAAGACCAGCAAATGAGAGATGGGAATTGAGTGACTGCATTCGCACAACACTCGCACTGGGTCGCGGTTTATTCATTTAATCCAGTTTTCTGGATTCACATAACATGTTGAACGATAAAGTAACTCAACGCGCTGGGTTCACATCACTCAGTAAGCCAAAATGAGTAAGGGCGAACCGACAACAGAGGACTAAGAGAACTGAGAACGGAAAGCAGAGCGTCAGAAAAGGAGCCAAATCGGTAAACTTGGCGGCAAATAACCGATGCCAAGTACTCAGAGCACTTCAGAGCCCTAAGGTTTCTCGCCAAAAGGAATCGACGAAACGAACAGGCGAACAACCCGCTCCCGCACACCACCATTACATCCCCCGGAGTTCTTCCGTTACCTCCAAGCCGCTCCTAGGGGAAGAATTGAGACCGCCCCACCCACCTTCTCTACGATCCTCTCTATGATTTACGTCTACTAGAACTGCTGCCTGTGACGTCACGTCCTTTCGTTCGGACGTGAAGAGCGGCGGATATCGCGTGCTGCAGGTGTGGGCCTGGGCATTAGTGTGAGAGGCGGAAGGAGAAAGAGGGGGCGCAATAAAAGAGGAGTGGGGGGCGCACGAGAGGGCTGGTGCTGAAATAGCCGCCTTTTTGGAATGAAGTCGAGATGGATAAACGGCAGGCTTCATATAGGGGCAGGGAAACTAAGAATGTAGGTGCTGCTAGTTTCGGGCTGTCAAGAGAGTCTTGCAGGTCCTCATGAGAAAATGAGTTGCGGTTGTGTTTATCGATAAGTATCATCTGTAAGTTTTACAATCAAACTTGTAAGATAAGTTATTTCTTCATTAAGTGGTATTACAACTAGCCCAGCAATAAGACACTTGAATAATGATAAATCCAGGTAATTAAGAGGAATGGGAGATTAAGAAGGAGCTGAGGCGGCGCAGCAGTTAGAGTGCAGTACTGCAGGCCACTTTAGCTGACTGTGTTCAGCAGGTCAGCGGTTCAAATCTCACCGGCTCAAGGTTGACTCAGCCTTCCATCCTTCCGGGGTAGGTAAAATGAGGACCCAGATTGTTGGGGGCAATGTAAATATATATTCATTGCTTACTGGTGTACACCGCTTAGAGAGTGCTTGCACTTAAAGCGGTATATAAGTCTCATAAATAAATAAGAAATACGAAAATAAAGCAAGCAAGTGGCTGGACCTATTAAAACTTTCAGAAAGATGCTGGCAAATTCGGAATTTCTAAATCTATCATAGATGGAAAAGTGCTGTGACAGATGTATAATGGTTAAAGAACAGGAATGCTTCCTGATGGATGTTATTAAATGTTGTTATCTATTAGGTATACCTGTATTTTTCCTCCATAGTAGTATTTTTAAAAGAAAAATATTGCAAATATTTTTTTATTGAAAATTTTTCAAATTTTACAAGACAAATCCCCTCCCCAAACCCCCCCAGCCTCCCGTACCCTCCCCCAACTCCCCAAACCTCCCTAACCCTCCCCTGGACCTCCCAGAGTTGATTACGGGCTTATCCAAAATATTTCAAAAAAGAAAAAGAAAAAACTTAAAACACATATAAAACTTAAAACACATATAAATCCTAAACAAATCTTAATATTCTAAATTAAATAGATTATCTCTAAAAAATAATAATCATTAAACACATTATAATATACTCTGAACATCTTCTAATCATGCTTATAATATTATCCACCATTCTATATAAATTCCTCCCGAAACACAATTTTAAGCACTACTTTCTTTGAACATCTATAACTATAATATAAAATCTAATATAAATCATAAACAAATCTAAATACATTTAGTTAAACGAGTTATACTCCCTCCAAAACACAAATTTAAACATAAACACAAATTTAAACATTACTTAAAACTTTAAACATTAGAATCCCCTTATACACATTTAATCAAATTCCATCTTAAAAATAGTAATAATAATTAGAAAAAATAAAAATAAACCCAGACACTAAACACATTATAGTATACTCCAAACCTTCTAATATCATGCTAATATTATTATCATTTTTATAAACTCCCCCAAAACACAAATTTAAACATTACTTAAAACTTAAAGAATCCCTTATACACATTTAAATCTTTATCAATAAGAAATTCCATCCACAATAAACACATTAAACATTTAAATCTTCACCAATAACAAATTCCATCCACAAAAAAAACACAATCCTTATCAGTCTCAATTGTCCATTTTCATTCTCCATCCATTATCATACTGATATTATTATTATCAATCTCGATTGTCCATTTTCATTCTCCATCCTTATCATTCTCTAATTTTGAATATTCGTCTTTAACCTTATCAAACTCAAGAGAAGTGCTTTGAGATCTGGCTTTAAAGATTGCTCCAAAATTTCTGGATCTCCCAACAACTCAGAAGCCAATACATGTGGGGATTCCTTAAACTCCTTATTCTGTTGGTCTTTTTCTTTACAATTATATGTTGCACGAATTGTCCTCTGCCCCTTCCTCTCAATTTGTTGAAACTCCTCAAGCTGAGATTTCCCATTTTTCATTTCAGACAACAATTCCATCCTTGAAGATTGCTCCAAAGGCTTTATAAGTCTTGCTTCTCCCACAGATTCAGAAACCACTAGATGTGAAACTTCTTTAATCTTCTTCTGTTGTTGCTTTTCTTTACAGTTATGTGCTACACAAGTTATCTTCTGCTCCTCAATCTGAACGTGGTGAGATCTCTCAGGCAAAGGTTCCCCAATTTTAGGGTCTTCAAACTGTAATTCTACATTCTTTTCTTCCAAGGTTTTAAACTTAATAGATGACGATGAACATACCCCCAAGACCGAAGTATAAAAATCTTTTGCTTGAGAAGCAGTATTAAGTCTATAAGATATCCCCAGGTAGTTCACCACCATTCCAATCGGAATATCCCATCTGAACGAAATTCGTCTCTTTTTAAGTTCATTTGCTAAAAAAGCAAACTCCTTTCTTCTTCTTAAAATTTTAGATGGGATCTCCTTTAAAATTATAACATCTTGTGAAGCAATTTGAAATCTCTTCTTATAAAAAGCTTGTATAATTTCATTGCGTAGAGATCTTGCAAAAATATTGCAAATATTGATAAAACATAATTGTCATGTTTTTAATATTTTTCCCTTAGTAAGCATAATTTTTCCACTAATCTCTTAAAAACTGCAATTAAGACAAAACAAATTGCAGAGCAAAGTCACAAAAGTTTGTGAAGCAGTGAATATGTGAAAGTTACTGACATTGAGGAAAAATAACCATTGAAAATGTCCAAAAATCTATATCATTGCTGTTTATCTTGTTATATAATAGGTTACATTTAATAGGAATGTAATTTTGAAGGTTATATTAAAAGATTTTGGGGAAAGAAAAAGTGCTTTTCAAAATGTTCCCCAAAAGTTTCTTGCAAAATGTAACAGCCCAACAAAAAGTAGGAGGAACATGATACAATTTCTCTATACTGGATTTTTAAAATATGTAGGTATAATAAAATATACCTACATATGTTTTGATTAGCAGTTTTGATTAGCAGTAGAGGGATCTTGGTGTCATATATAGCTCAGTAAAAGCAATGTTGTATGGTTCATGTTGCTCATTTATGCTTCTAAAATGATGAATTTTGATTTTAGGAAGAACTTTATCGGGGGGGGGGGCCTTGGGAAGGATAATTTTTTAAGGATACTGAAATAGATTATATTCCTGATGTTGAAACATTCATTCAAAATGTTTCCCCTAGCAATTTTAAAATGTCTTTATATTTTAAAATGAGAAGATGGAACAATATGTTTTTGTAGTTAAAATTTCATGAGAAGTTGATTTAAATTAGGTGGTTTCTTTTTACTTTATTCCTTTATTCTCTTTCCCCTTTTAGTTAGTTTATTTTACTTACCATAAGGCATGAAGTTTTTAAAATTGTAAACAAAGCATTATTTTTTGTTTGTTATATTTCACTAATTCACTTTTTAAAAAACAGTTTCCGTTCATTTCAATGGAATTTCTTTGGCAATTGGGTATATGAGAAGCAGTAGTATATATGCATAAATATTTCCTTTGTATCATAGCCCTCATTATAAACTGTGCAAAAAATGGACAGTGAAGTACAAAGAGATGGGAGAATTCTAGATTTGATTGATGACGCATGGAGAGAAGATAAGTTACCATATGAAGATGTGGCAATACCCTTGGTAAGTTCCTGGATAATTAATATATTTTTCCCATTTATTTTAGAATATTTTCTCAGTTTCAAAAAGCTTTCAATGAAGCATTTGCTAATAATTTTATTTAAACCCAGTCAAGAACTAACATTCCAAAAGCCTGATAAAGTTCCTCCCTAGGAGCAGAAAGGTGAGATATAAATAGTACAAATATTTATAATAAAACTAAGCAGCAGTAATGCAACTGTTGTTAATACAGATATATCAAAACATAGCCTTATAGATGCCACATACATTTCTTTTAATGCTGTCATCTACTTTATAGCTGTTTGAAATGTTTTTAATATATATTAGAGTTGTGCAGTGATCTAGGTTTAAAGGGGAGAAGCTAATTCAAAGTGTAAGTTGGGAAATGTATGACACTTATTAGCAACTCCTTAAAAGAATTATCATTCTCTGCTCTATTTCACTCCAGGAAAAGAGTACTTAATTTAAGGAGGTGCCAACTGGTGGGATGTACTGAAGCAGGAAAAAGGAATTATCTCTCCTGTTTCCCAATAAAAACTGCTGGAGCAAATGATAATATGTGGTTGGTTTCTGTTCGTTCACCATCCTGCACTAGTCCTAAAAAATGTTCTTCTTGAAACAAATCAAAGTGGAAATTACAAATCAAAAAGCAAACAGAGCAATTCGAGATTGGATGGATACACATTTATAAATAAAACAAATGTTTTATTTACATAAAATAAAATGCATTTAAAAAATAAAATAATTCAGTGTTGGTTTTATAAGGGTTGTATGAATCAACTATTAAATAAAATCACAGCAAGCAAGCAAAACAGTATGTTTTCATAAAATTATGTTAATTGCATTATTGAGCCATATCTTGTACTATCGTATATATGTACAATATCTTGTGTTGATATTTTTATAGCATGACTATATTAACCATAACGTCATTTTTAGCTTAAGTGGAGTATAATGCAAGAACCTATTTTGTTAACCCTTTAAGTTGTACAGTATTGACCTATACATCAGTAAGGGTCAGTGTTATGGAACTTTTAATTTTAACTTTTTTATGAATGTTTATTCAATATACAGATAGTTGTCGACTTGCAGCAGTTGAGACCGGAATGTAATCATGAAGTACAACTGTATCACTTAGCAATGGCAATCCCTACAATCCCTCTTGGCATAGTTAACTGAATTCCATGATCATTAGGCAAGGCAAGTTCCTACCTGCTTGTCTAAGGACAATGGGGAAGCAGGAGGAAGTTGCCAGTCCCAGGCCCACAGGCAGATAAGTGGCTGCGGCCAAGTGAGGAGGTCAGTCTGGGAGAGGGCCAGATAGGGGCTGCACAAGTGGCCAACACAAGCACAGAGGGTCTGTTCTTCCCTGCCATCTTCTTGTATTTTCTGAGAAAGCCAGAATGGAAGATTGCAAATGGCAGTCATGTAATTGTAGACACCTGACAACCAGTCATAAGTTGCCGAGTATGCAGATGACAATTGTATGACCCCCAGGGATTGCTGGATGGCTGGAACTCCAAGGACCAATCATAACCACTTTTCATTCAGTGCCATTGTAACTTCAAATAATCGCTGAACAAATGATTGTAAGTTGAGAACTGCCTGTATGCTACATCTCGGTATCTATGGGGAGAGGGAATTAATCACTAAAAAACAAGGTGATATAACAGATATACCGAAGAATCAGTAGGACTCTAATTGTAATAAGCAAAACTATAATTACAAACTTGATTTCCAAATGCCTAGCATTTAAGCCAGTAAGCCATTAACAATTGCATATATATACCCTTATGCATGATGCGCTTAAAGATATTTTAGATTTGTAATTAAAAACAAAATATTGCTTACTTTCTCATTTATGAATAGATTTTTCTCAAAAAAAAACCAAACCACTGATTACTATTGAAAACAGAACTTTTTTTCCCACTAAGTTCTATCATTTCTTTAATTACTTAATGATAAATATTTTTTTTATTTTCAGAATGAACTTCCAGAACCAGAACAAGACAATGGTGGAGCAACAGAATCAGTGAAAGAACAAGAAATGAAATGGACTGACCTGGCTTTGCAGTATCTTCATGAGAATATTCCTCCAATTGGAAATTAATCTGTACAAATTAGTATAATAACCACTTTATTGAGATGAATTTCTTGTCAATATTGGTTTGCAGTCTTTTGCCCTGTTAGTCTTGTTTTGAGATAACTTGATAATTAATTGTTTTAATTAAAAAGTTACTTAAAAGGCACTAAAAGTTTTTTTGTAGATCATGAGAGATTTTTCTACCTTTCTAAATACGAAAGATTTTCCTTGAAGTTTCCAGCAGAGGTCGCAGAAGTACAACAGTTTCCTTGAGTATGAATTGCTCTTTAGTCAACTTGAAATATATTGCAAAAATTCTGTTTGCAGTTTTTGATTTCAGTAAATTCTTATTTGTACTAAATATATTCTGTGGAAATGTAGGCAGTTCTGCTGATAAAAGCTTTTTCACTTCATCTTTTTAATGCTATCTAGAAGATGGATTGAAAGTACTCAAAATACACATTACCACACATAATAAAACTTTAATAGCTTCAACTACAGACAGAATTAATGCACTGAAGTAGCTAAGGGAGGGATATTTAACTTTTCTTCCATCTACCGATTTTCTAGAGCATTTCATTCTAAATATATCGTCATACATTTCCTGAATTTACAGATATATTCAAAAGGTATATACTCAACTGTAATATTGTAAACAAGAACAATGGTGAAAAGTTAAAGTAGCTCAGTTAAGTAATCTGTTGCATGCTGAATTTCTTAAAAGACATTAGCTATAGACATGATATTAAAAAGTTTATTCTAGAAAATTGTACCTAACAATGACAACATTACCTCTATTTTGTAGGGAGTACTTAAGGTCCTTGATGTGATTCTTCACAAGTGATATGGAAAATCCAGAAACAAAGCCATTTCTACACAAATTTAGGGTCACCCTTAAGACTTTAATGCAGTAGTCCTTGACTTATTACCAGAACTGGGACCGGAACTTCCATACTAAGCAATGAGGTTGTTAAATAAATCATTGAGCAAATCCAGTTCTCCCACTGACTTTGCAAGAAGCCTTTTGGGAAGATTGCAGATGGTTACCATGTGACCCTAGGATGCTGCAACTGTCATAAATGCATGCTGATTGCCAAGCGCTCAAATTTTGAGCATGGAATACTGCAACAAGTTTAAGCGCAAGTACTGGTCATGAGGCATCTAAGTATAGTATAGGTCAGGGCTTTTCAACCTTTTCACAGATTGTGCCACTTTTAGGACATGACAATATTTGAGTACCACCAGTGCTTAGCAAGGAGTCCATCACTCTTCAATGGCCTTTTGAAAATATATAAGAATTTTGTGGAGAGATTTTCAGGATTGATTCTGGTGCTATCAATGTAAGTTTTAGTTTTTCATTATCATTATATAGTCTTTATTTTATAATTACTATATTATGGGGATAGATAGACAGACAGATAGATAAATAGATTCTTGATGTTTCATATTTAAATTAATATAAAACCTTTGCAACTATTTTTGGGAAACATTCGACATCTGAAGTACATATTGAAAAAAACTTAAATTTTTTTAAATCTAATTAAGTATAGATCTTTTCAATGCAACTTAATATATATGGTACAGTAGACGTTTTTTCATTTTATTGGACTCTAGATCTCACATTTTTTATTATTATTTTACCTTATTTTAATTTTACCGAACTATAATATTTAATTCCAAGAATATTTCAGGGATATATCTACATCTGTATTCCAGGGATGTTGTTAGAAATGATGGGAAAATCCATTCCACTGAGTTGTTTGAGAATTGTCCATGTGCATCAAAATGTCAGAGCAACTTGGATGGTATTTATCTTTTGATAAATAACTGTTTTATGATTAGCCTTGCCTACTATGGAGTCATTTTGCAAGAATCTACATAATAAGTTATAAAATTCCAAACATGGCCAACAGTCCAGAAAGTTTGGTCCATTCTTTAATAATGCTATCTAGTAGTCAGTATTGTTAACAGATTATATTTTAGAATCACGGGTTAGTGGTGTGAATATAAAACTAACATTTTGGTTTCATAAAATGGTTAGATATACTTCTAAGGTTTACAGTCAGCTTAGAAGATCCTGGTGATTTGTAACACTTCTATGCAATTCCATATTAGACAAAAATATTTTGTGTTATTTCCTAATCCATCTCTCAAAATGTGAGTAGAACACTTAAAATTGGATGGTGACTCAAATATAATTCTAAAAAAAGAATTCCATATCGCTTGAATTACACTTTAATTGTCTACTGAAAACAACCTCTAAATTTCTTCAAGAAGTATAGATGATTAGTAGAGAAAACCTCCCTTTTACTTCTCTTTCTACCTTTTTTTATTAAGCCCATTAATATAATAATTGTATTCAGCAGCTTATAGCTGCAGTAAGGTTGATAGCCAAAAATGAAGAGATTACTATTTTGGGAGCAAATCTTCTCTAACTTGATCAACAAAAGCTATACAAGGGACACAATATTCGAAAGAGAAAAAGGAAAACAAAGCAAATTTATGTGTATTATCATATCTGCCAAAAAATTTAGGTAGTAATCTATTGTATATAAATATGATACATGCTTGCTAATTCAGGATGTCTGGATTGTAATGATTGATACCGTGATACTGAGACAGATTCTGAGCCAATCAAATCAACCAAAAATAGTTTACTTAGTTTGGAATGCAACAGCCAACTTTACTTGGCCCCTGACAGCCCATTTTAGCCTTTAAAACTGAACTGAGAGGGAAAAATCAGAGTATGGGTCATGACTCCATAACTCATCCATGTAGAGCTAAAACACAATTTAGAGTTATATCTGAATTAACTCAATACAAGGAAATGAAATCTATTTTTTTAAAAAAAAATCAGTTATATCAGTTTTAAATATAATATTGTAGTGTTTTAACACTAAATTGAATCGAATTTGCTCTTAAGAGCAGAAAATACATTATTTTGTTATATTATTAAAGATACAATATGTTCTTTCTTAACACATGGATTTTATTTTTTTAATCAGTGCTCCAAGCAACAAACTGTGCTTTAGATTCAACTGTCTGCTTAGTGATACAAATCTCTGAAATACATTGCAACATCTTGTATTCTTCATCAAATAGCTCCCAATCTCAACTGAAAAAGACAAATTGTTCAAAATCAAATGACATTCTTTTGTTATTTTGTTCAAAATACTGTATCATTTTTTTCATTGTTTGAAGGCAGAAATAAAAATACTATAAAAAAGTGATAACAATAACATTAATAACATTTTCTACAATCTAGTACAGCACATACTAAACAAATGCCTCATTCATTATTTGAACTATTAAAATAGATTTCGTCCAGTCTGGTGCCTTATAAATGCAGTAGGCTTGCAATTCCATAATAACCATTATGCCAGAAAATTCTAGAGGATCCAAGACACCAGAAGCCCCCAGACTGAAAGTTTATTTAAAATGTTTCTTTTCTTACTTACTTCTTGCATTCCATCTTCCCAGTAAACCTTTCACATCCCAAGTAATCCTATTTCAGTCTCAGTGCTTTAAACCATTAATTACAGCAGGAAGAAAAAAAATAGTCATTTCCAGTCTCCAGAATCACATAGCAATGCAAATTATTAATAGTGTCAACACAAGTTTGCCTTTCTTAAAGGATAAAAAAGCAGAGAATGCATTAAATCCACTCCACCATTTCAAAGAGCAAAATAGATACATATTATACATTAGGGAAACTGGATTCAGAGCCAGATTGCATGTCACACTGAATCATAAACTAACTAGCAACTCTTTAGCCTAGCAAATTGGATAAATCTAGATGGTATAATTAGTCTGCAGTTGCAATTGTACTCATTGTGCAGTTCAGAAATCTTAGTGCCTTCTATGATTGAGATAATGTAAATATGTTGTGAAAACGTAAGTGTCTTTCAAATGAACAATCACTTCCATAGAATATGAGGGAAACACTATGATCGTCTGCAGTGCTTTTTTTGTAAAAAAAAAAAAAAAAAAAAGGTGCCAGAACTCACAAGTCATACAACCCGCCTTGCCTACCCTACAAGGTTCCATTCAAAAAAGGTGCCGGAACTCCATTCTGGGCGTTGTATGACAAAAATAGCCCTGATCGTCTGACTGAAAATGTCCAATTCTAATTCATTTCAATTAACTGATGCCTAAGTTGTTGATGAGTATTTCAGTTCATTTAATTTTTCATTATATTGCGTTTTCCCATGATCAGGCTTCTTATGTTCCATGTTTCCGTTCTGCTTTTGCAATTTCAGATTTTATTTTCCTGCATGATAACATCACCAACTAATGTTCATAAGGCTTTGATCTAAACCATGTCATAAACATCATTAATGTTTCAAAAGATCTTCAGCTCTCGTTGAGTAAACTGTTAGTGCCATACAACCTTAGGGGCTCATCACCTGCCAATATATCATCAATCACTTTATTTTTTTTCTTTGCATGATTTTCTTATTAAACCAGGAATGATTTGGCATTGCCTTCTCTTGCCCATATCAAATCATGCCTTTGCCATTGTCACTGAAATTATTATTAACTATATTGCTGCTGCCCAATATAGAGGATTGCTTGCTTTAGTGAAGCAACTGGAATGTCTTCATACCTTGGGTGAATCTGCTGGTATATATGCTTTCAACATACACTGTTCTTCACTCATGCCTCTCAGATAGCCACCATCACAGTGACTCACCACAGTGAGCCACTATAACAGAATTTACAATAGCAGACAGGATGTATTCCAATAAATAACAGTTATTCACTTCACCTCATACAAAAGCAAGGGCAGTCCACACCAAATGGCATGTCATTACTATGAAAAACTTGGCTCTAATATTCCCTTAATTTCTTCTCGTTGTAAAATGAAAAACTGAATTACCAGCGAGAGAGTGGGAAAGGCTCCAGTTGTCTTCTTTTCCTCATCTGCACTCATTTCCATCATCTTTGTGCACATATGTACCTCTCAACATTACTAAATGTTTAGATATGTTTTTATATTTTCGGAGACAATTTAAGGAGCAAGCTGTTGTTGGCAACTGAGACAGTATTGGAATGTTAATGTGGACCATCTGGACTACTTGCTAATGTCGAAATATCAGTTTGATGTGGTAATTTTGGAGTGTATGCCAAAGAAGGGAGAATGAGCTGTTGGTACTTTTTGCCCTAAAAACTAATAATAATTAACATATTATTTAACTCTCCACAGAAAATAAAATGTATGATATATATTGGGGAAAAGTGAGGATGTGCATTGATTCTCTTCTATCCCTCTGTTTTCTTTGGAAGCAAGATGGGGGAGGTAGTTTTCCAAGGAGACCTTGAAGTATGGGGTTTTGTTAGGCATGGAATCTGTATCTCCATAGAAACTGGCCATGAGGAGAGCAACAAACAGAGGCGAAGGAATTTCAGCATTGCCAGACAGGCATCAGAGAAACAAGAAAAGTTCTCTTTTAAAAATGAAGAAAAATACAAACCTATCCAAGGAATACATGGGGGACAGAAGTGCTACTTATTGCTGGGAACTCAAGTATGAGGGTGGGAGATTCTTGCTCTTCAAAAAAAAAAAAAAGTCCACGTCCTGTCATTTCTTTTTTATTCTTTTTCTTTGCAAAGAGAGAACTACCAAAAACATGCATTTTAAGTGATCCTTAACTAAAAATAAAATTTTAAGATATTCTCCAAATCTTTACACCCTAACTTTTGTCATAAAATATTAAAGGCAAGTAAGACTGTGGAAAGTAAGCAAGAAAATAATCCCTTAACAGAAAATTAAAATGTAAATGGAGTATAAACTGTGGTGTTGTACCGTAACAGTGCTGTGTTGTGATTTGGAAAAAGGGCATGAAAAAGATAGTCAAAAGCTTAGTAATAAAGATATTTTGTACTTGTCCCTGTTTTTAGACATTTAAGATCCATTTTCATATTATATTCTCTTTCTTCCTCAATGGACTCCAGAGCAGTTTGCCATTCCCTTCATTATATTTTCACAAGGATATGCTCATCAGAAAGTAGGCAGACTATTGTCAATTAATGTCCTGGAAGATTTCTGGCTGATCTGCAATACATCTTCAAAGCTATAGGAACAGTTTTAAAACAATATTCTCTTAGACTCCTGAAAAAAATTCATTTGGGGAAAAAAAGAAAGAAAATAGATAAAGACGTGTTGAGAAGCATTCCATTCTTCAGTCCTTAATATATGTCTGGGATTGCACTTGGCTCTAACGTATAGAATTCAGGGTTCTAATGAAAAAATTCATACCTATCATGCAATTCATTTTCAGTGTAAGCAATATTTAACCAACACAGAAAAGGAATGGGAATCAGTAAGAACAGAAAGGAAAGGAAAAAGAAAATGAAACAAAGCTAAGTCTCAGTTATATCAACAGCATTCTTTATTCTTTCCACATTTTGTGTCCTTCCAAACCATGCTTGTTTTCACTATTTCCATATACCACCTCATACATGGCTATTTGTGGTTAGATTTATCTCTTATCTAAGTGTGAGGATCTCATCATCTGTATTCAGCCATTCATTTCTGGATCTGGATCTCTTTCCTTTGAAATTGGTCACTTTTCATTCATTCATTCATTCATTCAGTTTGTATGATCACCCATTTCAGAGTGCCTTTGAGCAGAAAACAATCTTAAAATAAATTAAAAACAAATTTACATCATAAATACATAAGTATTAAAATACCAGGTAACAGAATCTTCACACACTCAGGGCCTCAGGCTTGCACATTTATTTGCTTTGTGATATGATCATCATTTTTCACAATTCACTTCATACTGAAGTGACCAAACCACTTCAATATTGCACAGGTCTTTTATCCATATTTCTT